GCCATTCATGATTCTTTAGTGTAATTACACTCTACCTGAAGCTGAACAAGAATATGTGTCCTGGAGCAAATTAAACCTGATATGTTGTTAGAGGCAAAATGACAAAACATCATGAGAAGGAAGGTAGGGATCTTTGGAAATGACAATGATGCTGGGAATAATATAAGGAAGCAGGAAAAGAGGAAGAACAAATATGAGATGGATAGATTCCATAAAAGAAACCATAGACATGAGTCTACAAGAGCTGAGTAGGGCTGTTGAGGCCAGGATATTTTAGGCATCACTCATTCATAGAGTCACCAGGAATGAGTCAACTTAAGGGCAGGTAACACACACAAGCAATAATTTCAGTGGAGCAATCAGGAAAGGTTTAATGCATTGGAGCACCAAATACTAATTTCTGAATTGGACTGACGATAGGTTAAACGTGTTAAGTGAGACTAAAGTAACCTGACTGGTAAAGATGATTTCAAGAGGGGAACCCCCAATACATCGTGTGTAATAGCAGTGTTTCTGCAGTAAGTACAAGTTTCCTGAAGACATCTTAGTATGGCAATTCTCATTGAAATGTTTCAGTGTGTTGGTTTAAAAAACAAAATAGCAGTCTTATTACTTTATAGCCATATTACTCATAGTTTAGAGTAAATTATAAAATTATTGTATCAAACAAGACCTATTATGGAAGACTAAATCAAGCATGTCAAAATTATTCCCGAAGTGCAGATACAAACAACAGCTTCTTAGAAGGAATATAAGACCTCCAAAGGATATTTTGAGGAGATTCAAAAAACTAAAAGGGTGAACACTGAATAACGCTAAACAGCTATTCATTGGTAGTGAACGAGCCCAGTTGTTCTGTACAGTTTTTAAGATTCTTTAAGAATGAAACATAAATGCAAAGAGCTTATTGCACTTTTATGTCACAAATGCTAAAGAGGGATTTTGACACAGCAACACCTTTTGTCTACTGAGGTTGAAGAAGTAGACTTCTGGAACCCTTTGTCCTAAAAAAGTAACATTCAGTGTAAATAAAATCCTGAAAGTTAACCTAACATTCTCCAGGAAGCAGATGATCTCAATTTGTATAGGTCTTTCAGGTTCCTACAAGAGAAATCATTCCTTCAAGTATCCTAGAAATCAAGACTGCTCTCAAGAACAAGTGTGCTCTCATATAACAATGGGATAAAGCATAGAATTAGAACCTGGCTGAATCACCAGAAATTGAATATTTCAAATAAAGGTCTTTTTATCAAATACTTTTCATTAAAACTGGAAATATTTCTTGAATAAGGTGATTGCTGTAACAGCAAGGATAATGCCAGCAAAAACTGCATTTTTATGGAGTATATTAAACACTCATATAATAGCAGAAGTTTATGAAGAAAATCTTTAGGATACAGAGTTACATGAGTAAAACAAAAAGAAAAATCCTTGGAGACAATAAATATATTATCATCTGTTGTACATGTTGTTTTCTGGGATGATCGTTAGTCATACAAATGATACTTTTCTGCAGAATGTTCACTGACTAATTTTCCTGGACTCCTGAGAAGGAGCACTAAAAACCACAATTGCGATATTTACCCTTGTTTTGCAATTCCATCGTTCTAAGAGCTGTGTAGTCATAATTACTGTTCTCAAACAACTCAACTAGCTGCTAGATATACAATTGTCTTTTATTTCTTACTCTTAACCTAAGGAACTGTATTCCTAAGAATAACATTTTTATGCAGAACACATTTTTTAAAAATACTTAAATTCATGAACAAAATGAATCTACTACAGAGTCTAATTGAAAATGAAAACATTAGTGTGATGTATAAAGCCTTCAGGAATGTTCCAGCCCTAAGTCAACACATCTAGGAACATCTCCAGAATATTGTGTTTCATATTTCTGTGGCCCTATCACTACAGCTTTATTTATAGATGAAACTCAGTCTGTCATGTTGGACATTTCTCAGAGTATGATATTGATGCTATGTGACAATCTTGGTAGTGGTTAATTGAGTTGTCAAGGTTGAAGATTTAGGAAAAAAAAGAGTTGGTTCTTTAAATCAGGAATAAACTTTTAGAATTAAACAATAAGTTGGCTTAAAAAAAACAACTGTTTATTCTTTTGACTGGTGAGAATATGGAGGAACAGGTTCCTTTATATTATACTAGAGGCCCAGTGCACAAAAATTTGTGCACTCGGGGGGTAGAGGGGGTCCCTCAGCCCGGCCTGTGCCCTCTCTCATCTGGGACCCCTCAGGGGATGACCACCTGCTGGTTTAGGCCCTCTCCCTAGGGGATTGGGCCTAAGATGGCAATCAGACATCCCTCTGGCAGCCCGGCAGCCCTCGGGGTATGTCCACTTGCCAGCAGGGAGCAGACCTAAGCTGCAGTCTGACATGCTTAGCACTGCTGAGGAGGCAGGAGAGGCTCCCACCACCATCGCTGTACTGGCAGCCATCCTCCTGGCTTGTGGCTAGTGTTATTATAAATAATCCCATTTTATTTTTATATACACACACACACACACACACACACACACACACACACTAGTGGCCTGGTGCACAAAATTCATGCACATGAAAAGGGAATTAATTAGAGGAAATATTTTAATATTGCTGTTTGCTCTTTCTCTATAATAGAAGTGTCAGAGATGAAAGAAAATTAATAAAATGTATATGGAAATCTCCCTCTTGTCAGAGTCTGGGGGGGTGCCATGGGACCCAGAGTCAAGTCCCCGCCCACCCATGTGCACCTCGAAATTGCACGAGACCCAAACCTGGGTGGCCCCATCCCCATCAAGTCCCATAGGTTAGGGGGAGCAACCTCAGATTCCCCGGTCTGGCCTCAGGTCCTTTGGCCCCGGCGCTGGGGCAGGCAGTGCTACCTCAGGTCCCCTGGCTCTGGCATGAGGGTGCGATGATCATTTGCATATTAGCTCTTTATTATATATACTAGAGGCCTGGTGCACAAAAATTTGTGCACTCGGGGGTCCCTCAGCCCAGCCTGTGCCCTCTCGAAGTCTGGGACCCCTCGGGGGATGTCCACCTGCTGGCTTAGGCCTGTCCCCGGGGGATTGTGCCTAAGCTGGCAGTGATACATCCCTTGGGGGATGTCCACTTGCCAGCGGGCCGAAGCTGCAGTAGAACATCCATAGAGCTGCTGAGGAGGCAGGAGAGGCTCCCACCATCGCCACTGTGATGCTGTCAGCCTGGCTTGTGGCTGAGCAGAGCTCCCCCTGTGGGAGTGCACTGACTACCAGGGGGCAGCTCTTGCATTGAGCATCTGCCCCCTGGTGGTCAGTGTGTGTCATAGTGACCAGTCATTCCCAGTCGTTCTGCTGTTAGGGTCAATTTGCACATTACTGCCCTAATGGGTTTGGCTCAGTGGATAGAGCGTCGGCCTGCGGACTGAAGGGTCCCAGGTTCGATTCTCATCAAGGGCATGTACTCTGGTTGCGTACACATCCCCAGTAGGGGGTGTGCAGGAGGCAGCTGATGGAAGTTTCCCTCTCATCGATGTTTCTAACTCTCTATCCCTCTCCCTTCCTCTCTGTAAAAAATCAATAAAATATATTTGGAAAAAAAAATTGCATGTGCACATTACCCTTTTATTATATAGGATAGAAGCCTGGTGCACGGGTGGGAGCCAGCTGGTTTGCCCAGAAGCGTGTCCCAGATCAGGGTGGGCAGGGGACCCCCAGCTCCCTATGATAGCCCACGCCATCCCTGCTCACGATTGCTGGCTCTGCCCATGCTCAGGCCTAACACCTCTGGCCAAGGCATTAGGCCTGGGCAAGGGACCCCCAGCACCCCAAAATTGCCAACTCGGCCCCTGCTCCCTGCGATTGACGGCTCCGCCCTAATGCCTCTCACCTAGGCATTAGGCCTGGGCAGGGGACCCACAGCTTTCCAAGGGACCTCCTGCTCCACCCCTTCCCAGGCCTAACGCCTGTGGCCAAGGCATTAGGCCTGGGCAGGGGACCCCAAGCTCCCACCATCAGCAACTCTGCCCCTGCTCCCCATGATCGCTGGCACCGCCCCTGCCCAGGCCTAATGCCTCTGGCCGAGGCATTAGGCCTGAGCAGGGGACCCCTCCAGCTGCAGCCGCCCAGGGATCGCGGGCTCCGCCCCTGCCCAGCTCCCATCGCTGGCTCCACCCCTACTTCCCGCTATCACTGACCAGTGCGGCAAAGGCGCCTGATTCTCCGATCATGGCTGGGGGGCAGGGCAAAGGAGGCCCCCAGGGCTGCCTTTGCCCTGCCCCCCAGCTCTTAGCTCCCCCCTGGGTTTCCGATCACTGTCAGTGACAGGGGGCTTCTTCCGTGCTTTCCCTTTCGCCTCCCTGCATTGTGCCTAGATATGCAAATTAACCGCCATCTTTGTTGGCGGTTAACCGCCATCTTGGCTGGTGATTAATTTGCATATCTCGCTAATTAGCCAATGGGAAGGGTAGCAGTCGTACGTTAATTACCATGTTTTATTTTATTAGATTAGATATATGCAGGATAAATCTGGAAGAATTGACTTACAAAACCACAAATGTTATTTGTGGGCGGCACAATTATGGATGACTTTTCTTCTTTTTATTACTTTGTTTTGAAATTTTTATAATATTAACATGTGTTTCCTATATAAATATTACTTTAAAATGCTTTAAAACTATAGATATTGGTGAGGGCATTAGGAATTTATACAGTCCACTTAAAAATGCCTCAAATATAAGTATAAAAAATAAAAACACCAACTTCAAGCATATGATAATCTTGCTGCCCTTTTCAGGGAAACATTAAATCAATGGAGGGGATTTCAGAATTAAAATCATTAGCATCCTCATTAATAGTGATAATCTAGTTTCCCATACAAGTAACAATATTATAATGTTAAAGGATAAGTTTCCTTTTGGGGCAGATATAAATGACTAAGCATTGACATGATTTCTATCTTTGTGAGTCGACATAATACAAGGTGGAAAACAAAGATAAAAGAGGGGAGGAAAGAGTTACTCACTCTTGTTGTATAAGCAGCTTCTGGGTCATCTTCTAGAACACGTGAAAGTCCAAAATCAGAAACCTTACACACCAAATTGCTGTTGATCAAGATGTTCCGAGCAGCAAGGTCTCGGTGAACATAGCCCATGTCTGAGAGGTACTTCATGCCAGATGCTATTCCCCGAAGCATCCCCACTAGCTGGATGACTGTGAACTGGGCATCATGTTTCTGAGAAGTATTTCAAATGTACAATTAAGATGTGTTGTATCTCTTAAAGATATATTTTGGTTAAAATCTCACATATGGAATTGTAATAATACTGACTATACATTTTAGTTCTAATCACTCCAGCCTAACAAGATATGTAAATAAACGGATACAAGGCTAAAACAAAATAGCATAAGTGCTATTACTAAATACTTTGTAACAAGAAGTACCTTAATATTCTTTGACTTCATGTGGAGAAAAAGGAACACTCGTGCACTGCTGTGACTTTAAGTTCAAACCTGAACTATCATGTTTATGGGATATACTAACAACTTAGAAATGTTCAGTTCAGGAACAAGAATGTAAAATGTATCTTGTGGCCATTTTAGTTTTATTTATTCATTAGAGGGCTGGTGCATGAATTTGTGCACAGGTGGGGTCTGCTTGGCCTGCCCTGACCAGGGCCGATTGGGACGGGTTGAACGGATGGCCCTACCCACTGGTTGAAGTCCTAATAGAACTCCCAGTCGAGGGGACAATTTGTATATTAGCCTTTTATTATATAGGATTTGTATGACTGTTCATTTTCTTTCTAGTTTTCTGGATATTTTGTGAATTGTTTCAAATAGGTGGATGTTATATTTTTAATTACTGTATATAATTACTTCAAAATAAGTAAAAAATATTTACTAAATCTGTGTTTCTCTACCAAACCTTGAATTATAGGCTATAAAATAGAAAGTAATAGGACATAATGTTGGAGTTCTGGATTTAGAAAAGCTTCCAATCTTTTGGATTAAAGTAGAAATATATAGTTTAGACCCTGGTCGCCAACCGGTGGTTCGTGGACCACTGGTGGTCTGTGAGGTCTGATAGATTGGTGACTGCTGGTTTAGACCATAGATAAAGAAATGAATAGATAGATACACACATATGAATGTAGTACACAAATATATACATACATAAGTATAAAATTCTATGTCTAGTTATATCTAAATGAACAATAACATTTTAAAAGAATATTTTTTATGATTTTAATTACCTAATTTGAACAACTGCTTGTTTTTGAAATATGTTTGTGAAAATAATTTCTAATAAATTTATATTTGGCTCACGAATATTAATAATGCAATTTCTCATTCATATAAAATTTAGTTTTTCTCCATAGTAATGAAATGTACTGTTTGTCTACCTATCTATCTACCATCTATCTATCATCTATCTATAATCTATCTACCATCTGTCTATATATCCTGCTGAAAGTACCTTTTAGGATGGGTCTATTTTTTATTTTATCCCTTGCAGTGACTGGTGATTGACAGTGCAAAATGTTTGTATGTTTTGAACATTATATTTGTTCCAAAATGATATCTCTGAATTGACAGTACTATGGAATTATAGAACATGCCTATTTTCTGAGTGGACAGAACTATGTGAGAGAGAGATGGTCTGCTATCTTATAGCAGATTGAGGTTACTTTAGATAAAAAAGGTTATTATGTTAAATCAATATTATTTATGTCTGACTTTAGGATTATTTTTAATTTTTATTTTAATCAATGTGAATTTTGGCAGTACTTAAAAGCTGAAGAAGGCTGAACAAATTTGTTTAAAAAATATAAACCATTGACATTTGGATGCTTCAAGATAAAGATTCAAATTTATAGCCTTCCCTTTGCTATTCAGTCTCTACAAATTTCAGTTTTATTTAAACTTTGATTATCTAATTGGCACTGTATCAGAGGTTGTCTCCAACATTTTCAATAATTCATTCCATATTTATGTATGCATGTACATAAATAGAAAGAGAGAGATACACATATGTATATAAAAATATTCTACTTACACGTAAGAAACTGTCCAAGGAACCATTCTCCATGTATTCCGTGACAATCATAACTGGTTTACCTAGATATATTGTAAATTAAATATATAATCATTATTAGAGTTAAACAAATCTGCAATGAACATATATAATACACTTTGATACACCTGATAAATTAAAAAAGTAAAAATTTCTCCTGCCTTCCCAATTTTGCAACATTATTAAAAAATTAAGTTTCAATAGAAAATAATTTTTTTAAAAAAATTAAGGTTTATTTTCCGACTAAGAGCTCATAACCTATAATACCTAAATTGGCTTATTTGGCATGGATTTTCATGAACACCAAATATGATCTTTTCTTCACTTTAATTACATCTTAGCTGATCTACAAAATCAAGTGTTTCTGCCTTCAAGCTCAAGATATAGCCAAGAATTCCACAATCATTTATACTTTCTACAAGTAATTACAGAACTGTGAGCTAGATATTCTCTTGTGCTAGTTAGTCAGAAATAAATCAAAGACCCTGCCTTCATGGATTCAACATGTGAACTGCACAAAACAATTAAGACTAATAATTATAATATTTTTATCTGTATAAATTTAACACATTAAAAATTATAAAATCCATGCTGTTTAAAAGGAAAATAAAATTAAAATTGCTGTTGGCAGTAACTTATAACAACCATTTTGGAATATGTGGCCTTAAATGCTATTAAATATGTTAACAAACATATAGATTCATTTAGATAGCCTTTTATGGAATGTACAAGATTGTGGTCTGATTATTTATACTAACTTATTATTTATCATTTCCATTTACACATACAAAAACTAAGATATAAAGAGGATAATGAAATTACTCTATACCACACAGGGAATAAGTTACAAAGCCAAAAACTGCAACCTGAATATACTAGGTTGTTACTTTTGGAAATTCATCCTGAGAAAAACATTTAAGGTATATAAAAAGGCATTAAACACAAAGGCGTTAAATATAATAATATATATAGATCTACAAATGAACATATGTTCAACTATTGGTAATGATTTAGACAATTGTGGGTTACAATTATATGATTATTCTGAATTTAAGTGATTGAAGACTGTAGCATTTTAAACAACTGTTACATAATAATGTTATGTGAACAAAGCTGAAAGCATATAGTAACTCTACATGCATCATGACAACTATGAAAATAAGTAATATAAAACAAACATTTCAAATACAAAAATACATATGAAATGAATATAAAAAACACTAGTAATTTTTCCGTATTTAGAATCATGTAGAATTACACTAGTACTTGACATAATTACTTCACTTCATCTTCACATCATCCTTATGCGTTAGGAATATGTCCTTAGTGGAAATCATTGCGGATTTAGGAAACCAGCTGAGGTCACACAGCTAGTACTGCAGCAGATCCCCAACACGGTTGTCTCTGATTCAAAGCTCACATATATTACCACACTGTAATTCTCTTCATTTATTGTTGCTATGACATTGTTTTAGTTATAAATCCATCATGTTACAAAGGAAGAAAAATCACCCCTCTTCCAGGTCTAGAAGATTTGAGTTAAGACTGAGTACTGATGGAAGACTTTGAGCAAATAATAGATTTTTCACAAACTTTAATGCATAGTTAAGTGAAGAGCACATATAGTTTTTCCTCTCAAGATCCTTCAGCGGTTCTCAACCTGTGGGTAGCCACCCCTTTGGCGGTCGAACGACCCTTTCACAGGGGTCGCCTAAGACCATCTTGCATATCAGATATTTACATTAGGATTCATAACAGTAGCAACATTACAGTTATGAAGTAGCAACGAAAATAATTTTATGGTTGGGTCACAACATGAGGAACTGTATTTAAAGGGCCAGAAGGTTGAGAACCACTGCAAGCTTACTTTGCCATTCTCATGATGGAAAATAGCTTTCTCTGATTTTTTTTTCCTTTCATAGGCGAAAACTCTTAATTCATGCTGTTTGTGAATTATGGATTAGTACTGTGAAGATTATAATTCCTACAGCTGGTACTTGAATGTTTCCCAAACTGTATATTTTGTTTATTGAGGTAATAAAATTATTTAAATTTCATGAAATTGCTCAAATAATTTTATATATGTAACAACCAATTGATACATCAATCTATTTTCTATTTAACAGAGTAACTTAGTTATATATCTTGAGTAACATTATATATGTAGTCTGGTGTTGTCTGAAAAGTCAATTTAGCCAAAACTTTAAGTCTCCAGAACTTGCTTCTTCAAAATTGTAATTGAGCTTTGATTTTAAAATATTAAAGAAAAAAGGGAAGATTCAATATCTCCTTGTAAACTTCTCTCTCTCCTGAACTGGTCAATGAAATGCCTAAAGACTGATCCCAGAGACCTGACCTGAATGGATGAATTTCTGCATATGTATATTCTTCATAAATCAGTATACATTTCTGTGTTCCTTTCTTAACAGAATTCTAGGAAGAATACTATCTAGCAAAATTCAATGCATACCTAGAATGGAGTCATAGATATGTTGCCTCATACAGCCAACTCTCAGTTACAGGGGCCAGTTATTGTGTTTGCATACAGTACTACCCAGACCTTTGCTTCCCTCTTCCTTCTGGATCCCAGCCTTATGACCATTTCATTTTTTGTTGACATGTCTAGTAGAATGTTTGGCAAGGGAAATGAAAATGAAAGTAGCTGAAAATTCAAACCAGTCAATTAAGCCAAAGCCTCATGACCATTCAGAAATAGGATCAGGCTGAATTTAGCTATACAATTTAGGTATTTATAAACACACCAGTTAACATGGTCAAGTCTAAAAATGTGCTTTACATTAAGTTCAAAGATTCAGCAAGCCGAAATGTACAAAGAGTAAACAAATACAAATATTCTATATTGGAAAGTGGTATCTTTACCTAGTTTCCCTTGTGATTTTGATTATGATGAATGGGGTTAAAGAAAAAGAGATGCAATAATGATGAGAACTAGTTCTAACAATATGAAATGTGGTTGGAAATCATAAATTACCAGCTCATCTGCACACAATGCAATGTGTTTCTATTCAAGTTTGGATACTCTTTCATGTGCATTTTGATTTAGAAGTGACATCATCAAGAACCTTTATCATTTACTGCCTTCAGAGATATTAAAGCAAGTCTAAGTATGCATACTGAACTGAACTCAATTAAATTATTGCTGGGTGACTAGATGAAATAAAATTTTATCAAAAATGAGCAAAACAAAATTTGCAGGGGAATTTTGCTTTTTTTCTTAAACTTATTTATGAGTACACATGAAATCATGATTTTTTTCATAATTAAAAGCTTAAGGGAAGCATATCAGCATGTTATAATCAGTTCATTTTCCCAACTATCCCTAGTGGCTCAGAGATATTACTAATCATTGAGCCACTGTTTGAAGACAGAAGAAACGTGTTTCAAAATGTCGGAGAACTCCAGGTTCAGCTCTACTTATTTCACCTCAACCTTCCTAATCACCTTTTCTATAAAAAGAAGAATCACATTAATGTGAGATATAGCAATACATGGAAAAGTTTATTGCAATCATCAAATAAACATTACTTTAATATATTTTATGCAAACGTAAAAATTACCGATGACTGCAATATCACAAATTTTGAAATTTAATTCATTTCCAAAAGAAATGCTACTAACTCCTATTAATAGTGTGTCTTACATATCCAATTCTTTTTTTTCAAAAGTCTTAAACACAATCTAGTATGAGATTAAGATATTTTGCCTTATTATCCCACACTCAATATTAGTATCATGTAATCAGAATCAGAGTGGAAGCAAAAAGCAGAAGCAAGAGAAAGAAAACTGACAAAAATTGACAAAATATGCCTCACTATTTCCAGGAAGGAAGTCTTAAATCACCTTTGACTAGAAACAAAAGGTTTTGTTATAGATTTTCACGTACTATACCTAACTGATTCATGGAATGCACTGAATTAGAGTATTTTTTCCTGTGAGTTTCCTATTAAATCATGTAAAATACAGACAATCTTTTCAAAATTCCATTTTAATCAAGACATTATTCATGTTAAGAATAACCTCTGTTATATCCACTGGTTTATGAGTTAATGAGCACAGGGGCCAACTCCATTTTGACTTCAGTTAAATATTTATTACCTGGCAGAGTGCTATTTACAATTGATTATATCATGTTTGTCATTGAAGGCTGGTTAAAGATAACCTCTGCCTTCAAAATTAAGCTAAAAAACAGTTTCTCCGAATTTTCTTTAACCAACCATCTCTATCAATGTTAACACACCGTGTTTTACACTCAGCTGACCTTAAAAGTTTTAAATGTATTGATGCTAATTTAAAACAAAGTTTAATATCTTTAAAGACAGGAACAACATTCCTGCTCTCTGTTACTCCATTCACAGCTGATTTGCTTGGTAAGTACAATGACAATTAGTGAATGTAGTAATATGAATGTGCTCAGTTTGATATTGCAAGAACAGCTTATAATATTTTTCTTTTCAAGTTTCTACCTTTTATTTTCTTCTCTAATAGTAAAATTAATAACTTAGGTATAATAATGAATTGAAGTAATGATAGCAGGCTTCTTAATTCTATTTTTAAAGAAATGCTTTTAATGTTTCACTATTGAATATGAGGTCTATAGGTGTGTTTGTGTGTTTATATACATTTATCAGACACATATTTTCTATGTATGATGTCCTAAGAAAATATTTTAAGTTAAAATGATTGTATTTTCTGCATTTATTGAGATTGCCATTTTATTTTCTATCTATTAATGTTGTGAGTTTCTTGGATGTTAAGTATTGAACCAACTTTGCATGCTTGGAATAAACTAACAGGTATGATAAAATATCATTTTTAATACATTGCTATGTATGCCTTTAAAATTATTGCAGTGTTATTGAAAATGTATTCATATGTTACACTGACCTGTGATTTTGCTTTTTGAAAATATTCTTGTGTGGGTTGGTGTCAAGATATCACTTGCCTCATGAGTTAGTAATGTTTCTTTTTCTCCCCTTCTGCAAGAGTTTGTATAAGATCAGAACTACTCAGGCAGCTATTACACAAGTATGTAATTATATTTCTTCTTCCTTTAGAATAGATATTGTATTTTTAAACTTTTTTAAAGACAGTATCTGGGCCTATGATATATTTTATAAGTTGAATTTGTTCTTCCAAAACTATCAAAAACCCATCCTATCTAAAATTATTGAGGAAGTACACAACATTCTTTAATGTTGAAGAAATAAGAAATTTCTTTAGGCACATAAAAATAGCACTTCCTGGCTCACTTTTTTTCATATATCGAGTAGAGATTTTCTTAGTTTTGCTATGTGGGTGCTTAGAATGATATGGCTTCAACTGATTTATCAGATTAAGGTCCTGAACGCTCGATAACCAATGTTCAAAGTTTCAAAAATTGATTATCCTAACAAACTATTTCTGCACATTATTAATAAAGTAAGTATAACTATATATTGTCTATTAGGGTTATGACATGGGGTTCAGTACCCTTGAAACAAGTGCAGAAAAAAGCTTTTTAAGAGAAGTTAACAGAAAATAACACGAATTTGGCATTGTCTCTAAAAATGACATTTTATTCCAGTAATGTTTCCTTTTCGTATGTGGAGTGATAGAAAGGTGGAAACAAATAACTTAAGTATTTTTTTTTGTAAAATGGATTCTCACACCAATACAGAAATGTTTAAATTATTTTAAAAAATCATCTTAATGTTATGGTTTTGGCATTCTTTAGTAATGCAAGCTTATAGTTAAGTGCATTATTATTAATTTTTAAAATTTTCAGTAAATAATCTCTTCCCAAATAACAACGGCAACAAAAAAACCACATCAATCTTATCTATATAATTCCTTCTATTCCACTAAGTGAAAAGTGGCCAATGGAGGTCTTCTTGGAGTCTGAACATCATTTGACTAATGGTGTGATGGCAGAAATCTCAAACATTTGCTTAAAGAAAGTTCCATCTTTTTGAACTTCAACTAAAATTGATAACACATGTTAGTGCCAAGCTCTGAGCAGTGACTGTGCCCCCACCTCTCTGCTACTTTGAGATCAGAGACTCTCTCACCTTCTCTTGTTTAAGACTATCAGGCTCAAAATGTACCATTAAAATTGTTTATGGCTCAATTTAAATAATGAAAATATAATGATCGGATAAAGGGCTTTCTCCAAATGAGCTGAAAATTATACATTATAATAGACCTGGTGCTTCAAAGCACAATTAATAGCAATAATAAAAAGGTATTTTTGAGTAAAAATAAAAGGAATTGTTTTCAAGCATTTACTTCTCTACTCCCAAGATTAACTGGTAAAACCTCAAGCTCGCCAGAAGTGGTAATTTAGATTTTTATAGCTCTATTCCACTTAACAATGCATTTCTACATAATCTTATTTGATCTTTAAAGTATCTGGAAATAGTAAAATAGAAATGCCTCTTCCATGTTACAATTGAAGAAAGTGAGTCTCTGTGAGTGGTCTGATATGCCAGATGTCTAATAACCAGTACGGTTGCATATGACCTTGAACTTTGACCTTCTGATTTTTAATCTAGATACCAATTATATCTCTTTTTTAAATGCTGTTTTGTTAATTAAATTTTAAGCTCTGCATCACTCTAGCTCTGTGTGTGTGTGTGTGTGTGTGTGTGTGTGTGTGTGTGTGTGTGAGTTTGTGTGTGTTTGGACTTTGAAGGTAGATTGTTTTAGCCTTTATATAGTCTCAGGAAACAAAGAAAATAATAAAAGTAGATTGAATAACTTCTGGTGACAAAATTGTCTTGCTCATATGTTGAAATCAATGCATTACCTTTCTTTCTAAGGCGTTTCTATTTTCTCTCAGTTACAGGTGCCAGACTTAGCGCTTTTAGATATGCCAGTAAAGGAGCTCAATATCTAATTCTCAGTCTGCTACTCTGTTACGCCTGCACTATATGAGATGACTGAGATTTATATAGTCAGATTTGGCAGCTTCTTACATGCCTATTTTACCAGGGAGATATATCAAATTGAGAACTTTTACCCTAAGAATAAGGTAGTTACAATCCATATTAGAATGTCACAGAATCAGGCTTGAATAAGGCATTAAATGCATACTACTGACAATATTTGAAGGTCATTTTTTTTTCTTAATGTGTTTTCCCCCTGAATTTTGGTCTTAGGGATTGTTTTATGGATTTCTTTGCCAGGTGACCATAATTCATATTTGATTATTTCATTTGTATATCTAAAAAAAACCTGCCACAATTATTATAGCTTAATGTTACTTACCATTCAGTAAATAAATTTATAGAAAGCAGCTAGCAAGATATAGCAACTTGTTTTCAAAAATTCTTAACACTGGAAGCAAAAAAATCTACTCATAACTGTTAATATAAGAGAGCTTATCAATAAGCTTAAATTTAAACCTAATTTTTACTTTCATAGTTACTTGCATCTTGTGTTTACATAGTTGTAGTTGTTGGAGAAATTAGGTGCCCATGTTAAAATTGAATCACTTTCTCCATTGCTCCCTGATGCTACAAGCAGTTTCACAATTCTACTCTGAAACGTGAATTCAGTTAAATGAACCAACACTGAAGACCTATTGGTAGAAAAGTAGGGTGTTTTTTAAAAATTCACTCATTCAATCAATCAAGCAAGCAATCTTTTATTTCCTAATATTAGTAAATTAAGTACCTATTATGATTCAGGTTCTGTTTAAGTCGCTGATTATCAAATACCATGGTTCTTGACTCCAATGAGAGTTTACATTTGTTTTAAGCATTAATGGCTATTAATTGGCCACTGAAAGTTTTTGAAGCTTGAGAGATGCTCTTCTATGTTTAAGTTTTTAGGGAAGATAAAAAATTCAAATAAAATAAGTCAAATACAATGATAAAAAGTAGAAACACATTTTTTACTAGAATTGGTGATAGAGGTGAAACCAACAGACCAAGTTACCAATGCCACATCTAGAACTTTCCAGTTAGACAATCTACTTGTTCTTTAGTTACCATTTGTTCAAATGTGAAATTCTAATATACTTAATTCATGGGATAGTAGCAAGAAAAAAAATAATCTCCATACTACAATGTTGGGCATATAATAGCCAACTCAGAAAGAAAAACTTGTACAAATTGAGAGTTAAAAGAAGAATGGTTACATAAGTTTAAATGCATTTCCTCTTCCAGCGGGGTTAAAGATATGAAGGACAACCACTTTGTAAGGATGCTATGAAGAAAAATAAATGACTAACTGATTATTAAAACACCACTGAGATATCATCCTATTCCATGGATATTAAGTAGTTTGGTCTTATCCTGAAGGAACAAAGGGTTCATACATTTTCCTAATCTGTACTACTACTAAAAGTGTTTTGATTATTAATTTAAAATTTTTTAAGTTTTTTTTTGTGTCAGAAAATATTTCAGTGTTTCTAGTAGTATGGCCTAATGTATAGTAGTACAGAGAAAAAAATGATTCTTATGTGACTTAATGTAGGCTTACATGTTATGGTTAAGTTCTTACATTGCTAAATTCTTAATCCCATTTATTATATAAAAAAACTATAAAGGATATCAAAGTATATTTTGATGATTCCATGCTTTTCTGAGGAAGGAACTGCTGTTTTAGTCACACTAAAAGGAGAATAGGTATTAGTGCCATTAAGAAAGTGCTCTGCATAATGTTAAAGAAAAATATTGCCAGAACCGGTTTGGCTCAATGGATAGAGCGTCGGCCTGCGGACTCAAGGGTCCCGGGTTCGATTCCGGTCAAGGGCATGTACCTTGGTTGTGGGCACATCCCCAGTGGGGGATGTGCAGGAGGCAGCTGATCGATGTTTCTCTATCATCGATGTTTCTGGCTCTCTATCCCTCTCCCTTCCTCTCTGTAAAAAATCAATAAAATATTTAAAAAAAGAAAAAAAAGAAAAATATTATTGTGAAAAATATAATATGTAATGTCTATTGGTAACCACAGAATATGTAAATGTGGTATGTGGTTCCAATCAATTATCCTCTAATGGATGCCCAATTCCCTGCCATGTTGTCTTACATTCTAAAGAGTTTGCTGCCAATTTAACTTATTCTTCCTTTTATGCTCTAAAATCTTAAAAAAAGAAAAAAATCCCAGAGCATTCTCAAGAGCTTTTCATTGGGATAGGAGCCAAAAATCACATGGTTGTCTCATGGGATTCCTTTAGAGTCTGGCTGGAGAAACCATCAAGGAAATAAGTTCAGATCTCTATCAGAGGCTGTGAGCTAGAGCTTCCCCAGACAAGTCAAGAAGCCAAGTGGGACTGTAGATTAGAATTATTTGAAATCCACAGAGAACAGTGAAAAGGCATTGGGTCTAAAGTGATCCCAACTTTCATAGCTCTGAAGTGTTCCACAAACTCCCGTAATTTCCCTAAAGCCGGGAGTTGGGGTAGGTAAGGACTTGGAAGCTTAAATGAAGGTGGTGAGTAATAAAAGAAAAGGCAGCTAGCTGGGAGTTTCTGACAATTTCTATCAAAATTGAAACATTGTTTTTCCTTGCTACTCTACATAACAGAAATTTCTCCAAAATTCACTTCTTCTCTGTCTTTTAATCAGCCTGTATTAATGTCCAGTTTATCTTCTAAATTTTTAAAGCTTTTTAAGAACACTGTCAATATAATACCAGTTAAATATTTTTGCTCTCTTGTCAAAGAAAGACATGTTAATCTTAAACTGGTCTTTTTAGGATGTTTAGATACATGTGAAAAAAAAAAGATCAAATTTCTTAAATGACTGAGCTCAGGATTAAATGACCTCTGCTCAACATACACAAAAGTTGATCTTACAACTTTACTTACTTTTAGTGACAACTCCCTCCAGCCTAATGATATTGGGATGGTCAAATTGTCCCATAATGCTTGCTTCTCCCAGGAAGTCTCTCCTTTGCTTTTCAGTGTAGCCCACTTTCAAGGTCTTGATGGCCACTGAAATCTCTTTTTTTGATGGGAGTTTTAAGCGACCACTGCACACCTCTCCAAATTCACCTGTTAGAATGCAGAAGAATGAAGCCCAACAAAAATCTCTCTATATAAAAAGCCAGCAACCGAACACCGGAACAACCAGAACAAGCAGTCGCTATGACACCCACTATGGCCAGCGAACCCGCCCAATGGGGGGGGGGGGCAGCGGCCAACCTCCTGCAGCCCCTTCCTCCAGCCAGCTCCTTCCCCAATCGGACCCCCCAATCTGATCAGGGGTAGGTCTGGCTGGCCAACCACCCATGGCCCCTCCCCCAGGTTGCTGACCCCCAATAGGTCCCTCCAACCCCATTCAGGGGCAGAGCTGGCTGTCCCACTCCTCACAGCCCCTGCCCATGGCCTGCCCCACCCCCAATCAGCCCCCACCACCCCGATCTGCCCACGGCCCCTCCCCCCAACCAGCTCTGCCCCTGATCAGACCATACCAATTGGGGTTGGGATTGGCCACCCAAACTCCCACGGCCCCTCCCCCGGCCCCATTTGGGGGTGGGGCCGGCTGACCACCACCCACAGCCCCTCCCCACAGTTGGCCCCATCCCCAATCGCTCCCCCCACCCCAAACAGGGGCATGGCCCCCTGGCCAATTGCCCACAGCCCCTACCCCCAGCTGGCCTGGCACTGATCTGGCCCCAATCGGGGCAGTCTGGCCAGCCAACCTCCTGCCATCTACTCCTCTCAACAGGCCTGGCCCTGATCCGCCGATTGGGCTGGGCTGGCCGGACTCCAACTGTGCATAAATTCATGCACTGGGCCTCTAGTCATATAATAAAAAATAAGTAGAGAACAATTTTTTCCTTTTAATAATTGTTTTCAAAATATTTACACCTTTGGCCAGTAAGATGTACACTGTAGGCTTCCAAATTATTTTGGAAGCTGGTAATCTGAGCCTCCCTAAGAAGCCCCAGGACATCTACACTCGAGTAGTAAATGGACCTTGTGATTAGCCTCATATATTTTTAAGTAGCACATTGTGAATAATGTAATATGAAAGAATATGGGACAGTTGAAAGCTGTATCTATTAGACTTTTACTCCTTGTTCTCATAGCTACCATTTCCTCAGGGTAATCCACAGACCAGCATAAGCATGGGTTGAGCATTGAATGAAATTTCAGATGTTTCTAACTTTTCTGTTTTTACTAAGAGGGCCAATTTAACTATATACTTGGTCTCTCTGAAAATGAAACCATCTGCTATCAATTCATTTTATTAGAGCATCAGCATATTGCATTATTGACACACTGCTATAAAGTTCTCTGGGCATCTGGAAGGAGAACAATAATATAACAGCATGAAATAAAAGATACTGCATTTTATTTTGCCCTGTTCAGTGTGACTCAGTTGACTGGGTGTTGTCCAGTACACCAAAAAGTCACCAGTTCAAATCCTGGTCAGGACACATGCTCAGGTTGCAGGTTTGATCCCCAGTAAGGGATGTGCAGGAGGCAGCCAATATTTCTTCTCATCTCTCTCTCTCTCTCTCTCTCTCTCTCTCTCTCTCTCTCTCTCTCCATTCCTTCCTTCCTCTCTAAAATCAATGTTTAAAAATGAAAAAAAAACAAGAAATGATACCACATTTTATCTATGGAATCACTGTAGAGATATTTTTAGACTCAATAAAAACTTTCTTAAATGAATAATTAATCCACAATTTGTTGAATATAAAGTGTTGCTGATTTTAAATAGTCTAATGTGATTGGTAAAAAAAAATGCCTAGAACTAGTTTGAGCACTATCTTCATATCCATTGTTTTTGAGATTTGCTCTTTCAGTAGATTTTTAGCTTCTGGAGAGCAGAGACCCTTTACATTCTTTCCTTTGTCCCCACTGCTGCCATAGTAGTAGCCACAAAGCAGTGCCCTACATATAATGTTTCATATTCACAGAAGAAATCTTAATATTGTATAAATTATTGGACATTTAAAATCTTTTTAAAATATCAAATAAGAGGGATTTCTTTTTGACAAAGATTAAGTACATGCTCAATTTTCAGAATGTGTGTGGGATGTAGTAATATTTTTGGTCCAACCTTCTCACTGTGAGATTTTGTACAAGCGCCATGCCCCACTGGTCAACCAGAAAGAAGGTGTCAAGAAGTGAGATGTTTCTTCTCTATTTGTTGTCCAAGTAAGTAGTTTCCCCCAAACTACTACAGCAAGTTGCCCTATCGACTTCGTAGCTCCATCACTAAAAATGACTTGCTTCTGTCCAGGAAGCTCTAAACTGACCAGACTTGACGCTTTCTTAGGAATCCAGTCTTGCCCTATTTTTAAAACCATGGCATGCTGCAACTTGTCAAAGTTACTTAAGGTCCAAGAAGCAGTTAGTCACACATTATTTAATAAATACTCATCAATTGGCACCATTATGACAGACACCATGAACAACACAGATATAATGGTAAAGAAGGCAGATCTAATTTCTCCCCTTGAGGAAGTGCAGAGAAGATAGCAATAACTATAGCTAGAGTGTTCCATAGGATTATAGGGAGAATTTGGGGCAGAACCTGAGACCGTTCATTGATCCTTTTAAATCCAAGGGAAAATGTGTTCTAGACATATAAGTATTAGGAGGAGAAATTATGATGCAAATTAATCAAGAATTTAGAATTTGTAAGCAAGAGTAAGAATTTATTTCCTTGTACAGAAACATAAGAACATTGTCAGAGCTCCAGTTACCTTTGTGTAAGTAGTCATTTTGAGCAAACCTTATAGGAAGCATTTATAATGAATTTTCATTTTCTGAAAGTTCAGCCATTATCATGAATCAACATGATGTAATACATTGTGTTTTAAATTTGGATGTCATCACTACTTATTCTAAGTGACAAGTCCCTTGTCAGATTATAAGCCAGACAGCACAGAGCTGGGGAACAGAGCATGGCTTCTGGAACTAAATTGTCTGCTGTGTAATTCTGCCATTGTCACTTATGAGCTATATGATTTTAAGTGAGTGTCTTAACCTCTCTGTGCCTTTTCCTCCTTATCCTATATAACAAAAGGGTAATATGCAAATTTACCCTAACAGCAGAACAACTGGGAATGACTGGTCACTATGACACACACTGACCACCAGGGGGCAGACGCTCAATTGCAGGAGCTGCCCCCTGGTGGTTAGTGTGCTCCCACAGGGGGAGCTCTGCTCAGCCACAAGCCAGGCTGACTGCTGCCAGCACAGCGGTGGTAGTGGGAGCCTCTCCCACCTCCTCAGCAGCACTACGGATGTCCGACTGCAACTTAGGCCTGCTCCCCGCTGGCAAGTGGACATCCCCCAAGGGCTCCTGGGCTGCCAGAGGGATGTCTGACTGCCAACTTAGGCCCACTCTCTGGGGGATCGGGCCTATGCCAGCAGGTGGACATCCCCCGAGGGGTCCCAGACTGTGAGAGGGCACATGCTGGGCTGAGGGACCCCCCCAAGTGCACAAATTTTTGTGCTCTGGGACTCTAGTCTATAATATAAGAACAACAACTGTGTCTCTAATAAGGTTTTTGTGCAGTTAAAGGAATTAATGTATGTAAAGAACTTAAGAGAGTACCAGACACATAGTAAATGCTAAGTGTTAGTCACTATTTTCCTGAGTTCAAACCTACCTTAAGAAGAATAAATTAGGGATTTAGCTTTCAAGAGTTGCATCAAATTGAAGAAGAAATATAAAAGTGCTTTTAACACTTCAAATACTGTTTAAATGTAAGAAGAGATGGTCGTGATGATGAGTGTGATAGCAAGATTAATGTCATATTGGACGAGTATTTGTAAAGGACAGCCTTTTGTAAAAGCACTCCTCACTAGGGAGACCAAAGGGAAGAGTTTTAATTTCAAGTGGACCATTTAGAGTTTCTTTCTATGTTCTCATTGAGATATCGTATACATCTACCTTCAAAATTCAGAAAATAGTGTTTCAGTAATGCTAATTTATAAAAATTATAAAATTTAGAAATGTGATTATTTCATCAGGTAGATATTAGAAATATTTATTTAATTCTCTTTAAAATAATTTTAAAAAAAATCTTAAAATTTTAACAAAAACTGGGCAAATGCAATGTCTGACCTTTCTACTTAGCCCAGTTTTACCTGGCCATATTCAATTAACTTTTCACCTATAAGAAAGGAAATTTAGGTTCTGTTATTTCTATGTAAAAGCACAGTTACAGGAGGGTCACTTAAAAAAATACTGCTTGGTTTTTTAATTCAATAAGTGCAGCACTATTTGTCTTTTGAAAGAAAGTGTGACTTATGAGAATTAAAATACTGTTCTGATTTAAGATGCACAATGCAAAATTGCTCAAAGTAAATTTTCTTACACTAATTTCATTTAAAACAGAGGAAAAATGTACTTTAAGTAGAATGACCCTCTGCACTAGCTTCAAAGCCCATTCTCCTTCTACTGTATTAATAACAAATCATAATAAAAATACATAAGAAACAAGTTGGTATGTCAGCTAAGTACTATACACGAACTATCAAATTAATCCTCACAAAAATCTAGAAAAGGTGTATTGTGATCCTCAATGTGTAGCATGGACTTTGAAATTGAAAAGTACACGTTTTCAATTTTGGTTTCCTAATTAATAGCTATGTGACCATGGACCATTCAAATGTTCACCTTTTGTTTCCTCATCTGGTGAAATTAAGATACCAATACTTATCTACAAGGCTAATAAAATGAATGCTTAGCATAGACTATGAGTTAAATAAATATATTCTACCTTTAGAAAATTTCAGTATTTAATCTTTGAAATGATAGTTAGATTGGGGAATAAAATTAGGAATTTCTGTTGTACCCATTTCTTTTTATAAAAATCTCTGACTGAAAATTAGAGAATTAGCCCACAACTATAGAGTCTTTCTGTATTTGTCATTGACTGTGAACTTTCTGTCATTTACCAAGATATTCAACCCCTTTAACAAGAGAAGGTAGTTGCTAATCAATTTAGCACAAATATTCTTCTTTTATGTACAACCTTATTTGTAAAAGTTAAAAAGGATGTAGAAACTGGGTAAGTGTATAGATGAAAAAAAGCTGGCCATAAGTAGATTGTTATTGTAGTTGCTGTGGAAATGGGTACATGATAGTTCATTATATTCTTGCACATTTTCATCTATTCTTGTAGATATTTAAAATTTTACAACAAAATATTTCAAAATCTTGATTTCTTAATTTATAATTGGTAATGCTGAGCCTTTTACACTGAGGTCTTCCAGGACAAGCATAACTGACCTTGAAGATATACCTATTTGCAAACAAAATAAGCATTGCTGTATTGCCATTAATGTGACAGATGACAATATTGACTGAATTATCCTGAAAATGGGGTGTATGTCTAATTTATTTACAAATATGTTTGAAGAGAAAAAAAAGAGGATCTGTCCTAATCTTTAATCAGGGACTATTGAGTTAGTATAAGTAGGCTTTTCCTTTATCTCATTTATCAGATACCATTTTTAATGAGTGTGCTTTGTCTCACACCACTGTGAAATAGATCTCTGGTTTTTGAATAGCATCTGCATATGTAAGCTTTAACTTATAAGGAGGGTCTCAGATTTCAATACCCTAATGTGTCTGTCTGGCTTTCAGGTCCTTGGCCAAGAAGAGTGGGTTTTTCCTCCTGCCAGTTGAGCACTCAAAGCACTTGTGTTGCATATGCTACTGCAGCTTCCGTGATGGAGAAGACTGCACTCTCCTGGGGCAACATTCGACAATGATCAGAAGCCTCTGCACCATAGAGCATAGAGCAGTACAGGAAGCAGAATTGCACAAATGAAAGAGTAATCAATATAGAACTCTTGTAACTGGATTAGATGTATGGTGAATATGTTCATTCTTACATCTTAGTCTATGAAAAGAAGAAGTCACTCTAGTTTGCTTTTATCAATCAGTAGCTGAATATTTTAATATGTACTATTGATTTCATAGAGAGGAAGGGAGAGGGAGCGATAGAGACGTCTATGAGAGAACATCAGTCAGCTTTCTCCTGCACATCCTCCATCCAGGATCAGGCCCACAACCTGGGCATGTGCCCTGAGGAGGGATCAGACCTTCAAACTCCTGGTGCATGGGGAGATGCTTAACCAACTGGGCAACGCGGGCCAGGCATTAGATGAATATTTTAATATTGTCTACACATGTGACATTTAAGATGATACAACATTGAGCAAATTAGAAGATAATTTTTTACAGTTTCATAATACATCATCTGTATATTGCATTGTGTGTTCACCACCTCAAATCTCCTTCTAGAAGAGAAAATTTAGTAAATTATCATTTTATTTAGATAATGTGAATTACTCTGATTGTCCTGGATAATAGGAAATACTGCTTGAGTTCTAAATACTGCTTTGGTGTATAGAAAAAAACAAAACAGCATAGGACATTAGATGCCCATTTGTATAAAGAATCATCAGTCATAAATATACTACTACAGAAAATGTGTTCTGATGTATTATGGATAATTCAATAAGCTAATTTTTTAGTCTTTCTATTTCCCACATCAAAATAACTAGTTTGTGATGTTTTTTTTAGACCAATATTGGAGAATGAGATGATGGTGTAAACTATTAATGCACATTATTGTTTATTTTTATTTTGGAGTAGTAGTTTTGTTCAAATTCACACTGCATGTACTATGGATGTTCATATGCTATGTCTCAGTGTGTAAAATAGTTATTTAATAACTTTCTATAATTTTGTTAAAAATATGCAACAGCTGTTAATAATCACTCAAAGGGTATATATGAATTTATGGTATAGCAAAATTACTGATTAGAAAAAGAGATTTCTATATGAAAACAAGCCTTGACACAAATAAATTAATAGTTTATGAAGTTACAGGCAACCATTAAAATGGAACACTTCACATTTAACTACTCAAACTAATTGTCATGAAATTTGTGTTTTAGAATGTTTCACTTATGATATTATTTTGTGTTGTCTATTTTATAAATTCTGAAGAGGATTCTAAAATTACCTTTTTTCTACAAATCCCAAATTCCACTTAGTGGGCTTAAAGTAAAACACACTTTATCCTGTTATCCCTATTTAGCTTAATGGTCTTTGTGACACATGATCAGCGTAGCCTTGGGAAGACTGAGCTGTTGCTGCTGCCGCCTCTGAAATTCAATAAATAAAAAGCTGGCCTGTGGTCTGTGAGTCTGTAGGTCTGGCACCTTTGAAATCATTACATTCCATTAAATACTCCATTTATTTGTTGCTTGCCTTTGATCATTAAGTCAGAAAATGTTCCTTTTCATAGCAATATACAGGTGGAGCAAAAGTGGGTTTACAATTATTTGTATAAAAATAATAAAATGATTAATAATTATTAATACAAGAATAAACTTTGTGTTTCACATACTCACAATTGTAAACCTCTCTTGCCACACCCTATGATTAGGCCTGAGAACCTGAGCGATTTCAGGGACAATTCTTTTTTTTCCTTTTTGTAATCTTTATCTGAGGGTGTTTACTGATTCTAGAGAGAGAGGAAGGGAGAGAGAGAAATATGTTGACCGGGGTTCTAACCACAACTTAGGTATGAGCCTTGACAGTGAGCTGAACCCACAACCTTTTTGGTGTACGTGACAATGCTTCAACCAACTGAGCCACCCGGCCAGGGCATCAGGGAGAAGTCTTATTCATAGTTGTAAACTTGTAACTGACATTGTAGGTTGGCAGTGAGATTTCTTGTGGTAGTTACCTGCTCCAACAACTTTGTCAATGGATATGTTGGTGGCATCCAATTCCTTAGCAAACTCATGAACTGCTTGAGTAGGGTCTTCGTATGTATGTGGATCAACGTAAGTTCTGAGACCTGGAAGTTTTACTGTTTAAGGGAAAGATGAAGAAATATTATTGTAGCTAGGTTTAAAAACCTTGTTGCACAAATTTTATAACATTATTGGTTAAAAACAATACCCATTATGATAAAATGCACCAAACCTCTAGTTTATTCTGAGATATCACAGAAATCAGCAGAGAGGTTGGACTAAGTACTGACAATTTAATAAAAAATATTCCCCATAATGAAATGTAAAGAGGAACCATAATGAGCTTCCTCTGTAAAAACACTAGAAGGAAAAAGGACATTGAAGGAAGGGGATCTTAAGGAGAAGGTGGTTCAAAATTGTGTAGGTTCAGTAATTTCATAGTAGCATTAGTGAGCGAACACCATCACCCTATAACACTTTTATGATTCTACAAACAGTAATCAAGTATCTATTACAATGCCTCATCTGACAATAAATAAAAGTGTATAAAATATTTTCATAAGGTTGGATAAGTGCTGTAATGCAGATAAATTAATTAAAGAATATAAAATGGTAACATTGGTAAATATATATATATATATATATATATATATATATATATATAATGATATTGTTTTAGCGAGGGACATGGTTGCTTAATGATGATATATTTTCTCATTGATCACACTAGAATATTAAATTATTATTTTATCCTAAAATAACAAAGAACATAAGACTTTATCTTTTCAAAAATCATTTTGTAATGAAAGAATGTTTTTGGCAAAATTGCAACTGAACATTCTGTGGTAGTCAAAAATGTCTTCGTGTCAGTGTGTATTTTGTACAGAAGAGGTGTGGGAACCGATGACGGCAACCATTCTGAGAAACGTCAGCACAGTGGACATTAGACCGGTGAGTCCAGGATTGCAGCTTGGCTACAAAATGATCAGTTTGTGGACCTACAGTACAACTTCAGGAATTCCATGGTTACACCATATACTTTTTGCTTCTGCAAAGCTTCCATAGAGGTTTAAGTAAAAAATTATAGACATAAAATTTATTTCCAAAAAATGGTGACCAGAAGAGATGGGAGGTAAAACTCTATTTTCCTCACTACTTCTTCAGATGATTGTGAGATAGCAATATAGAAATGGGAGAGGGAGGGAGTAAATGGAGGACCTAGGAGAAGAAAGCTCTTGAAAACTTATTGCTCAAATGCCTATCTCCAGTGCCTGTTATATAGTTAGTGCCCCTAAATGTCATCATTAGTATTTTCACAATTATTACTATCACTGAGGTTTCCTGGATACAGAATTTGGGCTCAGAAATGCCCATTTCTTTTGAGCTCATAGATCAGTTTTCATACTTTGCCATTATTATAAACATTATTGCTTCCTATAAAAACAGACAGCAGAGTCACTCTTATAGTGGTCCACTATAATTTATTACTACACTAAAACTACTCGTAGCATTATCTGTACTAAAACACTTTACCCTTAAAACAAGCAAACATATTAAGGAAACCTATAATATCATGAGAAGAAAAGCTTTGGAGTAAGGAAAACAATAAAAGTAACCATAGACACTCTCAGAGACGTTAGGAAATGAAGCCTTGTGTCAGAATTCGTTTAAGTCAATTAGGTTACATTTTAATAAAGACTCACATCAAATGGAGGCTATGATTTATGATCAATCAGTTTTTCTTTTTCTCTAGTAATAATAATAGCAAGATAAGAAAATGGTAACATCAGAAGAAAACCTAGCTTTTTTTTCCAAGAAAAAAAATTTAAAATAAGGTAAAAAAAATTATTCTGGTAAACGACTACAAATATCTTACCTGTTTTAACTTAAGGACATAAACTTGTGAGAGATTTACTGACATCAGAATTTAAAAAGAAGATTATGAAATGAATGATCAGAAATAATGTCTCAAATATTATGACAGTGGATTTAAAAAGCCTTGAAATTGTGCTTTAGAGTGACCCTTCAATACCAAATAATCTGAAAATTAAATAATCATTCCCAAATAAAACCAACTGATTCATTCTGATTAATTAAAATGAAGTATATGGCTTTTCTATCCTCATGACATTTGGGGAAACAATATAAATACACACACACACACACACACACACATCCTCAAGTAAAATGACTTGCTCACTGTGGTAGTGTTGGCTGCTGACTTTTAACTGCTGACCCCAGAGATTCCAGGAATCAGGTGAGTCAGGATACAAGGCACATAATCCCCCCACACCAATAATTAAGGGCAACATACAGAGTAACTGGGCTGTGTCAAGCAAACCAGATAATAAACACATGCACACGTGTTAAGCTGCACTACTTTACAGCTCGTTCTGTGCAAACACAATAATTTACATTTCCATTTTACCAGCATGAGTTGCCCTAAGAATAGCAAAAACGTAGAAAGACTCAGTCAGAGAGGGCAATGGGACAGGATCTTAGGAGGTGAAACACATTACTTTCTTTTTGAAGCTATATTATGGGATTTGTAACAAGGCTGGGGGGAATAGTTCATAGCTCAAGCTTTTTAAGGTAATACCAATAAATGGTCTGAAATAAACCAGCTGTAGTATTAAGACGCAGAAAGTTTATGGCATGCATATAAGTTACTTTGTGCCCTTGCAGCTAGGATAAAATGCATTTCTTTTTTGTTTGTCTATCATAAAGATATTGTGCATTTGAAGAAAATTAAAGTTTCAACAAACTTTACCATAAAAACCAGCAGCTAAAACAGATCAGAGCGATAAAAGAGGCTCCTTACAATTGGCTCACAGGAATATATCAATGCTCTAAATTCATGAGATTTATAATTCCCATATAAAGAACAAAATCAGTATGGTTTTGCTCTAAAAACAATATTTACATTGATTGTCCGACTCAAATTAAGAGCAACTTAATCCAAAGGAATGTAACTGTTGTGAGTAACTTAAGCATGGCAATTTTCAGTGTTTTGAGAGACCAGGAAGAAAAAGCTAGACAAGTATCCTGTAATTTGTTCATGTACACTTTGAGGACTTTTGAGTTTGTAACCTAACTAATCTGAAATGATGAAATGTTGATATTAGAAAGGTAGTAGTTTGTGGGTTCTTTTTGTGAATTATTTTATAATGACAGCAATGAGGACAAAACAAACAATGCTCTCTGTAAACTCTGGTACTGTGTCAATATCCATCAATTTTCATTTGGAATTTTTTTTTCTTCAAACTACTCTATGCCTCTTGCATGTTAGCAACAGGTAATCAAGTTTTTACTTGAGTTACAACTAAAACTATAATTTTTAGATGCAAAGCCAATGACTGATAATGAAGTATCACACTGACTTAAAAATAATTTGGCAAGGCAATAGTGAATGCCAAAGAGAGGAATGTTTACAAAACTACACTAGTTATATTGAGATTATTTGAAACACATAAGCATGAGTATTGTCTCCATACTAATTCCCATGAGAATTAAGGCCACTGATTAGTAATTTCCACATTAAACTGAGCCATAGTCTGAAAAAGCAAAGAACGTGGGATAATTAGTTTCATCAGAAAAAAATAAAAATAAGTCTGTTTATTAGACATAAACACTTTGTTTCCTAAAAGAATATTTCTCTTAGAAAATATTTTTTCAAATATTAAATTGGTTGGTATTAAAATATGGGGGGAAAGGGCTGGCTTTCCTACTGATTGGATATCATGTAACTCCAAAATAAACAGTTTATTCTCCTGGTTGGCTGACAAAATGGAGTGAGGCATTTTACATAAACAGAAGTTGTTTCTATTTACCTGGCAGTTAGGACGGAAAAAGGATCCTATTTATATTTTAGCAAAGGACTAGTAATAAGGAATTTGAAGATATGCTTTGCCTTTCAGCTACGCAAAGCTGACTACAGTTCTGACTCCCGTCATGTGCACTATTTGAATATAAACCACCGGTTACCCTTCGCTTTAGCTTAAATCTGGCCATGCAAGAATTACTTGATGCAGAGGCATGCATTTTCTTCTCTGTTTAAAATAATTTTAATTTGCTCATTCCCCCCCTCCCCAACAACAACAAAAAAAAATACTACTTTTGAATTATCTTTGTCAGGAGAAAGTTACCCAATTATAAATGAACCACTGCCGAAACCAAAATGGTAAAACCAAAACACCATAACACTTTAAAACTTACAATGTCCATTCCCAAAATGAAGTCTTTTTTCATCTGTACCATGTTTTGACTTGTTATAGCCACAGAACCTAGAGGGAAATGGAGGGAAGAGAACACAGGAAGAAAATATACTTAAACAATTATCTATGCTCAGAATGTACAAAGCAGAAAAAATAAAGCGTTTTTCTTAAACAATTAAATGCTTTAGTGAAAGTTTAATGACTTTGTATTTCCTAAATCCTTTATGGAAAGCCCCTTGCCCAGGGGACCCTGGAAGCTGCCTAATGAGGAGATAGGGAGAGCTGCTTCCCACTGTGCAGACCCCTTCAGTTGAATTTTTATAATGGCCTCAGAAGGTGTTTATAGCATTTTTTTTAACAACTGCTGCTAGAATGAATGAAGGGTAAAGTCTCCATTGTTAGCGATTAATGCTGCTCTGGGTGAGAAAGTGTCAGGGAAATCTGGGGTGTATTTTAACAGCGAGGGGGGAAGTAAAACCTAGGAATGTGGTCAAAAGAGAGAAGAGACGGGGTGTGTATTGGAGAGTGAGGCCGGAAGTTAATGCAAAAAAGAAAACCAAAATTAAAGATGAGGAAACAGAAGGGAGAGGGGGATAAAAAGAAAGATCTAGAATACAAATGGAGACATTCTGATTTGTTAACATACATTACTGAGCACACTTCGGATTTTAGCAGCAATTGGGGGGAGCAAGCAAAGCAACAATAAAAGTAAGTTATAAAACAGACTGTGAACTCACCTTCCAATCAAAACGTAGGTGACGACTGTGAGGAGAATAATTGCTACCGCTGCTGAAATGGCAATCATTACTACTTGGCTATTTTCACCAGAGATAGAGAAAGCTGTGAGATTGAAGAGAAAAAAATTAAAAGACCCGGAATTAACACATCATAACTAAAAGCTACATGGAAAATCTGATAAAGTCAGTCATATTTATTCTGCTTCCACCTGAAATATGGCGACTGTCTGGTATAATATAGAAGTAATTCTTCAGTGAGAATGAAAAAACAGACATTTGCTACAATTTTGTGTGAAAATTTTAATTAATAAGATTAAATATTCTGTTTCAATGGCATTAATCAAATACTACTTCAGTGTCTACTGTGTGAAATGTGCTGGACTGCTTTCCTCTATCCTCAATGGCAAGAAATTCAATGGATACACCGGATAAATATCTTATGCTCAGCAGAGGAACAACATAGAGAATGGACATGATTTCTCAGAATGAATTATAAATGAATTAAGCTAGTTTAGTCTCCAATACCTACATTTATTTGAAAGGTGATATAACAGCTGTCTTATGGGCCTCAAAATATGTCACCAATGCATTGTCCCTCTCCCTGTATTCTCTACCTTTGCAAATGGCCTACCATTCATCTACTCACAAAGTGTTGGCATTAGTCACCCAGGAGCAAATTCTGGCCAGCCATCAGTTTTGGTATAACTCAGGAGCTTAGAATGGTTTTACATTTTGTAAAGGTTGCAAAAAGTCAAAAACCGACGATTTTGTGATTTGAACATTTTATAAAATTTAAAGGTTGGTGTCCATAAATAAAATTGTTTCGGAGACATTCATTCATTTGTGTATTGTCTATGGCTGCTTTTACCCTATATAATAAAATTCTAATATGCAAATCGACCAAATGGCAGAATGGCCAGTAGCTATGCAGTGCAGTGACCACCAGGGGGCAGATGCTCAATTCAGGAGCTGCCCCCTGTTGGTCAGTGCACTCCCACAGGAAGCCAGGCTCACTGCTGGAAAGCTCAGTGTCAGTGGTGGGAGCTTCTCCCACCTCTGCTAAGGCGGGCGGTAAGGAGCGAGGGGTCCCTGAGTGGGAGAACCCCGAACTGTGAGACGGATGTCTGGCTGCCAGCTTAGACCGGATCCCTGGGCCTCTAGTACTATAATAAATAGCCCAGTAGAGTAGGAACAACAGAGACTATATATACACAAAGCCTAAAATATTTACTATCTAAGCCTTCACAGGAAGTTTACTGACCCTTGACTAGACAAATGCTTTCTAGCTTTAATGTTCAAACAAGCCACTCGAGTATATTTTGGAAAATGCAGTTTCCATTTCAGGCTGGAATGGGGACTGAGACTGCATTTCTTACGAGCTCCCAGTGATGCTGACGCAGGTGATGCAGACCACGTTTGGTAGCAAAGGTGTGGACCATAAGTATGAAGTCACCTTGTCCACTCTCTCTCCTGATGTTCTATATCCAATTCAACACAAAGCCCTTTAAGATATCTTAGTTTATGTCTTTCTCTTCTGGATTACAATTAGAAAGTCCTAATTAGTTTCTATTTGCATGTCTTTTTCTTTACATGGTGACCAGAGTACTCTTTCTAAACCATGAATTTGATTATGTCATTATAATGCATAACATTTCTGCAGGGCTTTCGACTTTCAGGATAAAATGAAAATTCTGTAGCAGAAGATGTAAAGCTCATTAAATCTGTCCCCCGTCTCAATCCCCAGCTTCGTCTGCTAACAAACTCCATAAATGTCCTATTCTAGACTTTTGAAAACACACACAGTTCCTGGAACAACCTTTTCAGTTGCTCATACTTTAACCTACATTTCTTTTGTAGTAAATGCTGACTGTACAAATGAATGAATGAATGATATATAAAAGAAGAGCTTAGAAGAGTAAATTTGGTTATCTAAATGCCATCACCTCTCCAAAAGCAAGCCAATATCTTATGCTCAGCCTGATCGAAATCTACATTTAGAAGGTTTCTCTAAACTAATGCAGTTATAGGACTGGTTAAATGATGCAAATAAAGAAACATGGCTGATGGCCTGGTAGAAGTTTTGCAAGCATTTGAAAAAGGAGCTCTGAGTCTGTAGGATGGCATGCACACTCCTAATATAAACTGTTGCTGCACTTTATTCTTTCCTACCAGCGGACTATTGTTTATACCACTGTGGCAGTCCTGGGAGTGCTTGCTTGGATCTCCCTGATGCCAAGCCTCAGTGGGCAGACGGCCTCCAGCTGCTGCACCTCCAGCATCCCCTGCAGCCACATGCACAACACAGGCCGTGCTCCCCAGTGACTACACCTGACAAGGGGACTGGAGTCAGCCCAGGTCTGCCCAATGCAGCACTCTCCTTCACTCTGAGCGACCCGTCAGATTGGTGAATCCCTCTGAACTGCCTTGCTGTCTGAGACTCCTCTTCCTCACCCTTCTCTTTCCCTCAGTCCTTCACAGATGGCTGAGCTACAGGAGGCGCTGCTTCCCCACTTCTGCTCCAGATTTTTTACCTGTTATCTGTGTTTCCTCATAAAAAGCTCTCATACTTCTATCTTAACATCTGCTTCCTAAACACCTGGACTGATATATCCTACCCATTAGCTATAGATATGTGAATAATTTGTAAAATAACTTAACTTAGTGATTCAATAATGCTCTATAAACATATACTATTAACTCTACCTCGTGCTTTTTATTTTGTACACTGTTATAACTTACAGAGAGCAGAAAGTTCTGAATTATTTGGTAAATTTTAGTCAGTTTTAAAAATAAAGGTTGCAAAACTGGAAGGGGAAAAATGATAGAAGAAAGAAGTCGCTGTTGTTCTGTCCAAGACAGGATTAAACTAGGACTTCTCTACCATTTCCACCAGCTCTCAATATCTATGAATCCCTGAGACATATAAAATCAGATCATTGTTTGTTACTGAAATGAGCAAACATTTGAATGCATAAAGTGATTAAATTTGTGTTATTGAGTTGTTTAATAATTTTACGTGGCATACTGTTAAAACTAATATTACATGTCTTAGAAATTCAATTTAAATATGTTTTCTCACAAGCAAACTGCTCTCCTTGCTTCAAGTAGCATTGTGTTGATTTCTCTCCCTGAAATCGAGTGGTTGTGAGCTCACTCTCCTGACCCAGAACACCTGAATTTGTACTTAATTGCTGTGTGACATAATGTGATCTTGTGAGGATTAAATGAGTAATAAAGTAAAGCACTTATGTAGAACAGTCCCAAGCACATAGCAAGTGCTTAGTAAATGTTACATATTTTTAGTATTGCATTTCCCCAGTGAAAGCTGGGCAAAAGCACTCTCTTCTACAAAATTACATATGAATGTCTAATGTTGGTATATAAGAATTCTCTATATAATGATCCCACTCTACCTTTGTCAGTCTGCCTTAATAATAGGGTCCCAGAGATTAAAGTTGCTGCAGGTGAATGTATTAAAAATAACAAAAAGGAGGTGGGAAGCACTCAGGAGTACTAATTAAATTCTCCCCAGGGCTCATCTTGGATAGTAATGTAATGTTCATGGAATCTT